ACACACACACACACACGTACACACACACACTCACACACACAAACACACACACACACACACACACACACACACACACACACACACACACTCAAGAATAATACCACTCTCATGGAAATGCTCTGAAATCAGTCCTGTCTCAAAGAAACAATCAATACAAAATTTGAATGACTTAAGACCTGTGGCTTTAACATCAGTCCTCATGAAATGTGTAGAAAAACTGGTTTTGAAAGAACTGAGGAAATCAACAGAAGACATACAGGATAACATGCAATTTGCCTATCGTGACAAGAGGGGCGTGGAGTATGCCATTCTCGTGTTCTTAGATAACATCTACAAACATATAGACACACCAAGAAATTACTGCAGGATATTTTTTGCTAATTTTTCATCCGCATTCAACACAATCCAACCGCACATAATGGTTTCAAAACTAATTAACATGAACATAAACAAGAACATTATAGCTTGGATTCTTGAGTTCTTAACCAATCGACCTCAATATGTAAAATTAAATGGTGTAAAATCCGAACTAATATTCACGAACACCGGTGCGCCCCAAGGTTGTGTAATCTCCCCTGTCTTGTTTACGCTCCACACCAACGACTGTATTTTTGATAACCAAAACATCAAACTAATAAAATTTGCGGATGATTCCACTCTACAAGGCCTTATAACAAAAAATGAGAATGAATACAGGGACGCTGTAAATCTATTTACAAATTCGTGTGATAACCACTTCCTTTTACTAAATTATGTTAAAAAGACAAAGGAATTAATAATAGACTTTAGAGTAAAAAAAAGACCAATTGCAACCACTATTTATTAAGGATGAAGAGGTGGAGGTGGTAGGCCCTTACAAGTATCTTAGTGTAACAATCAATAACAAACTTGACTGGCATCCCCACGCTGCTCTTGTACACAAAAAAGTAAATCAAAGAATGTTTCTTTTAAGGAAATTAAGAAGCTTCCGTGTTGACAATAAGATGATGTCCCTTTTTTACCATTCTGTGATTGAAAGTGTGCTATTATTTTGTATTTGCTGCAAGGGTGGGAATTGTAAAGTGAAATATAAAGAAAAATTTGACAGAACCATTAAGAAAGCCAGCAAGATCTCTTGATAGGATTTTAATAAAAAGGCTGAAATGTATAACACCACACGTATAAAAAAGATAAAAAGCATTATAAGCGACCCATCGCACCCCTTTTCCACACAAATTCTAAGATCACGCAGAGGCAGATAAGTATCTCCAAAAACAAAGAAAGAAAGATATAAAAGAAGTTTTTTACCATCTAGCATAAGGCTTTTGTCAGAATGAGCATAGATGTGTGTTGCTCTTGGAGTATGTATCTAATATAATTAATAACTCCAAAGGTCTTGTATTTAAATTCCTGCACGTGGTTGAATGATGCATTTGAATTGAATGTGCATTTTGTCAGCTTTACTTCTCTTTTCATATTTAATTTTAATGAAAGTAATAATAATTTTAAATGCTTATGTATACCTGCATGTATTTTTACGGTCCGGCACAGCCAAGGAAAATTTCCCTCTGGGATAATAAAGTACTATCAGAGAGTTTACAGTAATACTGTTGTTGTAAACAATCTCTGGTACTATCTTATGTTATCTTATCTTAAGTACACACACTCTCTCTCTCACACACACACACATACACACACACACACACACACA